AGCACTCCCAGGTCCCTCTCCACAGAGCTGCTCTCCAGCAGGTCCGCCCCAAGCCTGTACTGGTGCCTGGGGTTGTTCCTCCCCAGGTGCAGGACCCTGCATTTGCCTTTGTTGAACCTCATCAGGTTCCTCTCTGCCCAACTCTCCAGCCTATCCAGGTCACGCTGAATGGCAGCACAGCGTGCCAGTGTATCTACCACACCTCCCAATTTGGTGTCATCAGCAAACTTGCTGAGGGTACGTTCTAACTCTTCATCCAGGTCATTGATGAGTCCATGTGAAATGAATCACAGGGTTAAGCGGTGAGTCTTGTCCTGCCTGTTCTTCGTACAGCATCTGGGCTCAAACCCCTGTCTCTCCTGAATTGTCTATAAAAACTGCAGATTAGATGGATGGGCTTGGATTGGCAGAACAGGGATGTGCTGGTTTCTGTAAACTCACAGCCCTTGAATGGCCCAACTAGCTCTGCACCTTTGTGCTTTCTGCATCAAAAGCTGAGAAACTGCCTTTTATTGCAGACAAAACAGAAGATCAGAAAGCTCCCTTGTGTCACAGGCGCTGCCTCATCTCCACCTGATTTCACTGACGCTTTCCTTTTGGCTCTCTGGGAAGCAAATATAGCAGATGTCTTAGCCTCCCAGAGGGCAGGGAACGTTAAAATTCCTCTTTTTCAGGTGCTGGAAAATTCTAGCAGTGAATTAAAAGTAACTGATGGTATGGAAGAGATGGAACTGTCTGCTGCAGAACAACAAGGACAAGATATTGCCATGTGGAGTCCGGAGAAGGAGACCTGCACAGAGACTGACTTTGCCCAGTCTGGAGAACTGAAAACACATCAAACAAGTGCGTATCCTACAGCTGCTTGGTATAGTTTGTGTGGTATTGATGGGGCCTTATGATTATTCTGAAATTTTGGAATAGTCTACATATTACTCTTGGAAATCACCGTCATTGTGGCTTGGTGAACCCGTGTATGCGGTTAGCAAAGCCTCCTTGAGGCAGCGTGACCCAGGCAGGCGTCACACAGGAGCAAGCAGTGCCCCTCAGATTTTTCTGTAGTATCCATGTGAAGGAGAAAGCTCATACAAAACGCTTGAAGTAGAAGTAAATACAGACAGTTTAGAGGGTGGGGTTTTTTTGCACTAAATGCAGAAAATACTACTGGGTTTTTGGCTTTGGCAGCATCAGACTAACTTTAAAAAAAATGGAATATTCTTATTTTTCAGGTGTTTCATGTAGTGATTTGACATCCATTGGCAGAAATCCTTTCGATGTGGTAAGCTGACCCTCAGGTTTATTTGACTAAGACAATCTGCATGTTACAGTACTCTTCAGCTTTCCCACAGAATTGGTAACTGCACGAAGGAAATTAAACTCTGTAAGATGCTATCAAGCCAATTCATATAACTTACTCCTAATACGAGCCACGATTCCTGTCTCCCTGCTCGGGCTCACGCTGTTATTCCTTATTGCACATGAGCAGTGTAGGATGAATCGAGACTTTTGTAACAGAAAAATGCCTGATTCTTATTAGATTGATCCTTTAAATTATATTTCTTGTGGATTTCCTTGTAAATATTTACTAACGTAATGAACGGCCTGGCCTTTTCCTTCCGCTTTCTTCCCAGAGGTTTCCAGGTCTGTCCCATCCCTTTTTTTCTTATAGTTTTATCTTTTGGAGCTGGAAGCAAGCTTCACCAGGGAAAAGTGGGTGTTAGAAGAATTTGGGTGCACGGTTTCCTTGGTCTCACGTGAAAAGTCCTCTTTAAAACATGGATTACTGCTTGAAACGCACCAGATATTCACTTCTTATTTTATGTTTGGAAATCAGCTTGCAAAACTTCTCTTAGGGAAGTCACGGTACTTCCAGCGGAGCACGACCTTGAACTGTGGCTGTTGCTGTGAAGCAGTATTGTCTGTGAGCAAGCACATTTTAGTACTCTGAGTACTTGGAATCGTGGCAGGTTTCGGATCTGCCGGACAGATCGGCGCTTTGCTTACTCGCAAGCTGCGCCGTGCCCACGGTGCTGAGTGAGAGGCAGGAGAATCGCGTGCTTCTCCTGTTCCCTCGTCCAAAGCACCTGCTGCAAGCTGGTGTCCCACGACGCTGAGGCGGCCTCTCTGTAGGCGGGCGCTGAACCCGCGTACGCGGTTGCCCGCAGTGATTGCTGTTGGTGTTTACCTGGAGGGCCTCAGAGAAAGCGGACTTTGCCGTCAGCTGATTTCGTGCGTCGCCGCCGCGCTGTTGTGCAGAGCAGCTAACTGTCCCTCGAACACTTAACTTCACGCTCTGATTTCTCCCACAGCCCATGCTGGATGCTGAGCTTCCCTTCACTCCAGTCACCAGCAAGGCCAAGAAGTTTGCAGCAGCTGAAGCGTTCAGTGACCTCATTGTGTTTTCTCCCCTTTCTCCCTCGGGGGAAAAATGAAGAGTGACTTGAAATGCAAAATGTAAATTATATTAACAAGAAAACCACAGAGGATTTCTGGAATAGTCTGCTACCCCTGAACTGTGTTCTGAGTGAACGACTACCTGCGGTGGAAGTCCTTGAGATGTTTGGTCACGTTTTATGGTGCAGTCACGGCGCTCTGGTCTGCACGGGTGCGTGCGTGTGACGGCCGTGGGAGAGCAGTGGGGTGTTTGCTGCTTGTACCTGCTGTATCCAAGGGTTGCATCTTCTGACTACAACCTGAAATATTTTTATTTTTTTGTATAATTTCATGTATTTCCTGTCTGCTTCAAGCTGTAAAGCCATTAATCTTTAAGCTTCTCTATCCTAACTGTACTCACCTCATGAGCTGTTATTCTCAGACGCTGACCAGGCCCACTGTACCCGTGCCCTGGTCGTGCAGCGAGGGCACCCGTTGGGGGTCAGACTCAGCCTGCCACCCCCCCGAAGCACGGCCTCGTCCTCCGCCGCGGCGGCGCGGGGGTCCTCGCGCTCAGACTCAGCCTGCCACCCCCCCGAAGCACGGCCTCGTCCTCCGTCGCGGCGGCGAGGGTGCCGTCGCGCCCGTGAGCTCCAGTTTTGGGCGCAGCAGCAGCTCTGCCCGGCCAGTGGATGTGGCAGGGCCTGATGCACGCCCTTCTCTCCTGGCGTTTAACAACCACTTGCTTGACGTAGCGGTAGAAACTATCTCAGAAGAAGGGTTTCAAAGTCAGATAACACCTTTTCCTGGCAGCGTATTAAAATAGGTATTGATTATAATTTGCTTTAAGGAAACCGTTATCTGTTGCATATTTTAAGTACCTTCAAGCCAAACCCTGTTCTCGCTTTGCTTTTTTTTTTTGTGTGTGAAAATCTTTTAACCTCTTAACGTGTTAACCTCAGCCTCTTCTCCCATCTTGTTCCTTATGCGTTCTCGTACCTGGACTGTAATATATGTATGTGTAAGGAGCACACCAGTTATATATACTCTATATTTGAGTGGTAGCATTAGAGTACCTCCAGTTGCTGTATTTTTAACAAATACCTGACTGGGCTTCCTCTTGCCAGGGTGACCTTAGTGTAAGGCACACTTTCTCCCGCTTGCCTTTATTTTAAACCACCCAAAGGTGACTCAAATCCCTCAGCACTGCCCCTACAGCGGGGGGAGCTCGTCGGGCTTCAGCTTTAGCCTGGAAGCTGTGTACTGGTTACAGTGAAATAAAGAGAGGAAGCTATGGTGACTTGGTGTTACTGTGCTGGAATCTGCTCTCTGCACTGCTAAACCCCAGTTCCAGGGCTCGTTTCAAACTGGTAGCTCTTAATGACTTGCCTGCTCTGCTCAGCCTTCAAGGCCGCGCAGTGAAGAGCGGCTGATGAGGGATTTCTGACACAGAGACTTCAGGTGCTGGCCTGGGCACACCGGAAATCCCGGTGCTGCGCTTGCTGTAACTTGGCATCTCCACGCACAGATGAAATGACTGTTAGAAGACGCGTGTGAGGCAGGTCGGAGAGATCCTTCAGCACTTCAGCAGCGGCTGTTGCGCTGTTCTTGTTTTGCAGACAAGACCAGAATGACTCACAGCACAGGGAATGTACTTTTTTGTTGTTTTTACCAGCCTGACTCATGAGGTGAACATGCCAGTAAACCTCCCCACCCTTGAAACCGGTCTTGACTCACACTGAAGCCATGCGGGGAGCGAAGCGCAAGGCTCGTGACCCGTTCCACGGCGTACGTAACGCTTGTGCAAACGGGATCTCCCTTGGGAGGGGAGCGCGTTCAGGATGTGCTGATTTGGGTCACTGCAGGGGCAGAACGGGCCTTTGAAATGGAGAGGCTACGAGGATGGTGAGGGGACTGGAGCATCTCTCCTCCGAGGAAAGGCTGAGAGAGCTGGGCTTGTTCAGCCTGAAGAAGAGAA